GAATTTATAGAATATTGTAAAAATATATATATATATATATATATATATATATATATATATATATCGCACAATATAAAATTAACATTAAAAAATTCTAATAGAAGAGATAGCAGAAAAAAAGAAACAAGTATAAATTATATAGCGCTCAATATTGCGCCAGTCAGGGATGATGACGATGATCACGTGATGAATTTTTGAAGTGACGTCATGGCGATGTTGATGTCATTGTTTATAGCGGCGTTATTGTTAGCGGTGTTGATGTAAGTATTAATATTGTTTCTGCCAGCTCCAACGTAACGAATGTTCTTCATGCACTCATTCCTATTAACGCGATCATAATCAGCACCTAATATCGGCGACGACGATGATGATGATGATACTACAAATGGCGATGGTGATGATGATAAAACAACTGATGATGATGACGAAGTTACTACCGACGATGATGATGATGACGAAACTGTTTTCAATCGCGATGACAAATTTGGCTGTGGATTTGTCGGCGAAGATGAAGAAATGATGGTCGATGAATGTAACGGTGGATACGGAGACAATGATGAGGACGACGATGATGACATTAAGAATGATGATAATGGTGTAGTTGTTATTAACGATGATGATGATGATGATGATGATATGAATGGCTTGGATGATGACGTAAAAAATGTTGACGCTGACGCCGAAGGGAGATTTTTGGAACCCTGCAATGGATTCTTCACGACCAGTAAGATAGACTTGTCTAGCGACGACGATGACGATGATGAAGACGACGACGGTGACGTCAATGGTGACGGCGACCTATCGCCACAACTTGCGTTTGAAGCCAGTGTGTTTGTGCCACTGTCGATGCCCTGGCTTGCTTGAAGCTGCTGCGGTCTGTGATTATCATAGCCTGCTAGAGTGTTTTAATATTTTATTAGCATCACATTTTATTATTATCAATATTTATTATTATTATTGTACTATTATCATTATTATTATAATAATTATATTATTATTATTATTATTACTGCTCAATAATTATAAATACTTTTGAAATATCTCCAATTGGTTTTTATAATAACATTAATCTTTCATTGTTTAAAATTTTGTGGCCGGTTTCCTTTAATGATGAGACTGTTATAAGGTTATCATACGGCATTTATTGTGACAGAAACAATTAATGATATAAATTTGAATATATTTCACCGCTCTGTACTTTTATTTTGAATTGAGCATAGCGGTTTTATATTGGCGTTTCATTATTTTACTATTTCATATTTTAATTATTTATTACCCTGGCTTTGAATAAAAGAGTTCTCATAACGATTCATTGGTATTATTTTTACTACAACACTAACCCTAACACTAACAACAACAAAAACAAAACACTAACCGTTTGTACTCATCTTCCCATCCTTTAATCTACAAAATGATGACGACGACGATGATGACGACGATGATGACGGCGGGTTTGTCGGCTTCCCATAAAAATTTTCTTCTATTTCAATAGCGCCATCGTCAGGAACAACAACATCATCATCGCAACAACTACTGTTACTACCATTACTAAAACTATTATTATTGCTAATATTTGTATTATTATTATTTGTATTATGATTATTATTATTATTATTTTTACTACTTATATTTAAAGAACGCGTGTAATTTTTTGGACAATAATATTTTCTGCTATTGATCGTATTATTATTATTATTATTATTATTATTATTATAAATACTATTCTTTTTCTTCTTATTATTATTATTTGTAATAAAATTTTTATTACAATTATTGCTGTTACTACAGATGGCTTTGTGTAGGTAATCAAACGGTTTTAAAACATTGCTATTATTATTATTATTATTAGTAGTAGTAGTAGTAGTAGTAATAGTAGTACCAGTATGATTATTATTATTGTTGTTGTTGTTGCTGCTGTGCAAGTAATCATAAAGGGTGAAATTGTTGTTGTTGATGCTGGAGCTATTATTGTTATTGTTGTTATTAATAATATTATGATAATTATTATTATTATGATAATTATTATTATTATTTATGAAATTGAAATCGCTATATCTCTGTCCAATTTCGCGGTCAGCTTCCGAGTTTAACAACGGTTCAATGAATTTCTGTCTGACAGACCAATGCTGTTGCTTACTTTGTTGCTCTTTATAATATCTAAGTTGCTGCTGTTTGTATTGTTGTTGTTGGTTACTAAGCAACCAATGCTGTTGATGATGTTGATGGTGTTGTTGCGGTTGCGAGTGATTGTTGAGCAACCAATGTTGCTGCTGCTGCTGTTGCTGCTGCTGTTTTAAAGTTTTAACTTGTTGCTCTTTGTTGTACCTCTGATGTCTGATCTTCGTGTAAATGATGCAAACCCAGGCTAACGACGTGATGACCACGCAGCATACAACGGCGATGATTATGACACCTGCTGTTGTTGTCGTTGAAGAGTTGTTGCTGTTGTTGTTGTTGTTGCCGAGTTTGTTGTTGTTGTTGCCGTGTTGTTTGATGTAATTGACGTCATATATTGTGTTGTTGTTGCTGTCGTGGTAGTTCAGTTGCAGAAATATCGTCTGCTTATCTATGCCGATCTTGTTTGAAATCTTGCACGTGTAAGCTCCTGGGTTGGAAAAGATGATGATGATGATGAAATGGATGAGCGAAGATGATGATGAAATGCATTTCACCGGCAACCAATCAGCCAACCATGAACCAGCCAACCAACCAGCTAGCCATCCATCCATGAACCAACCCACCCACCTTGATCATCAGGGGTTGTCTGATTGATAATGAAGACCTGATTGCCGTCTTGAAAACGATAACGACTCGACCCACTCGCAACAGAAACCATCAACTTCTCCTCACCTTTGAACCATTCGACCTTCGGCCTGGGGTAGCCATTGCAGGGGCACTGAAGTTTGGCTGGCTCCCCGATGACCACTTGAAGGTGGGAAGGAATTTGGCGGGTGAATGTTGGCGGTTCTGGAAAAAATTTTGGAATATGGTGATAGCAATTTCAACGGTGGCAATTACGACGGGAAATTTCACAACAATTAGATCAAGTAATGATGATGAAAATATACACAGGAGTAGCAACCAAAGAACCACGAACCTAGCACAACAAGGGTGGTATTGATAGTGGCCACTCCGACTTCATTACTCGCCATGCACGTGTACACACCGCGGTCAGCCGTGCTCACTTTAACGATGAAGAACCTTTCATCTTGCGGATATATGAGGAGTCGACGTTCATTCGCTGCCGGAAATACGTCACCGCCATCTTTTTTTAGCGCCAAAATGGGCTGTGGCGATCCGACAGCGTAGCATTCGATTCGAATGGTTGATCCGATCTGAGCTGTTATCATTTGCTCGGGTGTTTTGATGAAAGTTGGCAGTTCTGTTCATATTCAATGATGGGAAAGTTTTTTTAAATGCCGTCGACAAGTCCATCAATTTATCCGATTTCATTCATTCATTCATTCATTCATTCATCAGTTGAAATAACAACTTCTTTTTCCGGCTCAGCGAACCGTGCAGCTCAACCACTGAACCATCTCACTCAGCGTCCGATCAATCAATTATGCGAATGAATAAAAAAATAACCATCCCCTCACCGTTGACAGTCACGTGCGCCTTGCTCGACGTCGTACTCCCCAGGATGTTTCGCGCCACACACTGGTACATGCCTGAATGAATGAACGAATGAATGAATGAATGAATGAATGCATGACTGAATGAATGAATGATTAATTGAATGAATGAATGAATGAAAGATAGATAGATGAAAGATAGCAAATGAATGAATGAACTGATTGATCAATCGATTAATCAACCAATCAATTAGCCAGCCCACCTTCGTGGCTATCAGCGACATCTGTGAAGACGACTTGAGTCCTGACGACTTCATACTGACCACCGCCAGTGCTCATGTTCAATGCTTTAGACGTCTCTATACTAACTAGATGTGTCTCCGCGTCCAACGGCTGGTGAATGAATGAATGAATGAATGAACGTATTAATGCATGAAAGAATGAATGACTGAATAAATGAATAGATGAATTACTAAATGAATAGATGATTGATCGGTAAAACGATTAAAAACGAACAATTAAATCCTATAATAACAATTCAATGATAACCATATTGATAACCATAATTTACTATCAGATAGATAGATGCTGATAACGAAAATGATGAAGACGCCAGACAATAAAACAATGACGCCAATGATGATTGGTACAGTGGCGATGATGATAACAAATGATGATTAGAAACAATGACGATGATGACGACGACTGGAAGGATGAATGGATGAATGATAAGAACGACACTACGAACGATGAACCATCAGAATGCACACAGTTCACCAGCACCACCAAGCACCAGCAAGCACCACACCTACCACCACCAACCACCTTGTTATTCTTCTTCCAACTGATGTAGACGGGCGACTGAACGCTGGAGTTGACGAGACAGCTGATCGTTGCGTTGCCGTGAAGGAGGGCGGCCGTCGGTTGTGGAGGCTGGATGATGCTTGGCTTCTGAAACTTCACTGCTCGAAGATTGGGGAATAATTCATTCATTCATTCATTCATTCATTCATTCATTCATTCATTCATTCATTCATTCATTCATTCATTCATTCATTCATTCATTCATTTGTTCCTCTATTTTATTCATTCATTCGTTCATTCATTCATTCATTTCAACGTACAAATACACAAATACATACAGCACAGTAGATCTTGGTCTGATAGCCCCATTAAGTATCTTCCTTTGAGTTTATCAGGGTATCCACATGAAGCTTGCTGCTGTTGTGGTTGTTGTGGTTGCTGCTGTTGCTGTTGTTGTGGTTGCTGCTGCAAGCTAGCCAGGTTAAAGTTCATCTTCAGCCAGCTGACCAGCCAGTTAAGTTTGCAATCACAGAGTAAGTTTGTTGAGTCAATGATGCTGCCATGTGGTGACGATGGTAAAATTATGATGACGTAATTATATACACACACAATCATTATTTCAACATCATGACACAACAAAACACAACTCAATACCTTACAATACAATACCATACCATACAATACAATACAATAAAATACAACACAACACAATACAATACCATACAATAAAATACAATACCATACAATACATTACAATACAATGCAATAGAACAAAAACAACATCCTAGCTAGCCCCGCCTTACATATTTTCAAGCCTGTTGAGATTTCCAAAGCACTTCGGCTCTAGAGTGACCAGACTTGATCCAGACACGTCTAGGTATCTCAAATTAATGAGGTCACGTAGCAGACGTCTGCTCAGATGCTTGATCTTATTCTGACCCAGATTCAGTCTCGATAAGGAGGTCAGACCATCAAAGTATGAGTTGGTTCCTTCGGTTGACCACTGAAGATCGTTGTAACTGAGGTCCCTGTTGGTGTTCATGATGAGAATGATGATGGTGGTGGTGGATGTTGATAGCGGTGAGAATGGCGTGTAAGATAATGGTGAAAAAAAGGTAAAAAAATGAAATTGATGGAAATAGAAGGGAGAGAAAATGACAAGGAAGATGGTAAGGATGGTAATGAACGCAGCACAGAGAAAAATAGAGACAACGATGATTACTATTAACGAACGAACGAACGAACGAACGAACGAACGAACGAACGAACGAACGAATGATAATGCTAAATGATCAAAAGAAAGATAAGGCTAAAATACACAGCGACAAACATCATATCGGAGGTTATGTACCAGAAAAAAATGTTGAAAAAGGTTTCTGTAACAACCTCACACCATCAACCAACCGACTACAAATCACAGTTGTTATTAATCGCTACCAATAGTATTCTAAGTTTACATAACCAATACTAACAGGATTCTAAGTATTTTCAACTGTTGAAAAGTCGTTTCGGCAACATAGTCGATGTTGTTGTGTTGCAGGTGCAACTTTTTCAACAACGACAACCTTTTAAAATCAGATTCAGTCACCGATTTCAGATAATTGCCTTTCAAATTTCTATGGAATAATATCATTTCAATGTAGCTATATATAGTTACAGTAATTATAAAAATAATTTGCATAATAAACGGGCCCACAGACACACCCACACAAACACACACACATATACACACATACACGCAAACACATACACACACACGCACACAAACACACACAAGTACTAACAACTCCGTTATATTAGGTGTGAACTGCCACGCATTATTCCCAATTGAATTTATTCTGTTGCTCGCCAACGATCTGTAGTTGTTGTTGTTGTTGCTTTGATGTTATATCAGTGTTGTTGGTGTTATAAAAATAATAATCACCATAATTATTTTAATAATTATTAATAAATATTATTAATAGTAGCAGCAGTAGGAATAATAATGCTATAATTGTAGTCATTCCTACCATTGTTAAAATTAAAAAAGTTAAAGGTATATTTAGGTGGTCATTTTTTATTAGATAGATACATTGATGAATAAATAAATAAATAAATAGTCAATTATTTCGACCATTAACTAATTAATTGATTTAGTAATTAATTAAATAATTAATCAATTAATTAAATTTATGAAATTAGCTAACAGCTGTTGCAGGGTTCCGAGTCTGAATAGCCATTTGTCGTTGACGGATGATATCAAGTTGAAGCTTAGATCCCTTGTGATACCAATTTTTAGAAAAATTTCATCACATACACAAACGCACGCACGCACACGCACACACACGCACACACACGCGTACAGTCGTATAGACGTACATTCTTACTTGTGGATATATATACATGCGCACGTACAACGAAAACACTGATAAACGATAACAACAGCAAAGGACAAAAAACTCCTAACGATAAAAACTAACAAAGATATTAGAGAATCGAGTCCCCAGAAGCAACCATCATGAAGATTACTAATTAGGTTCCTTCTCAATTTCAATACCCTCAAGTTCTCCATGTCTGAGAATGTTAGGCTGTCAACTAATTTGATCTGGTTTGAATCAAGCTCTCTGTTGTTGATGTGATTTTGTGTTAATGTCATTTCTGTTGCTGGCATGGTATTGTTGTTTTTTGTTGATGTGATTGATGTTTATTTGCTTTTAAATTTATATGGGTTGATGTTTTTGTACTGCTGGTGCTGTTGATGTAAAATGTTGATGTTGGTTTTGTTTTATGGGTGTGCTACTTTTAATTGGATTGATTGATTGATTGATTGATTGATTGGCTAATAGATTGACTGACTGACTGGCTGATTAATCGATTGTTTGATTGATTGATTGATCAACAGAAGAACTAACAATCTCTTGAGTTTCTTCAGGTTAGTGAAGAAGATTTTATCAATCTTGTCGATCTGATTCCTATTCAGAATGAGGACCTCAAGGGAGGGAGTCAGAGAGAAGAAATCAACATTCACCGCCGTCAATCTGTTGCCGCTCAGGTCACTGCAGAACCAACATTTCCACAATTTTTTTAATCAAATTCGTCTTTTTTGTTAATTTTTCGAATAAAAATGTTTATAAATGACCAAAATATTCACTTCAAACAAAAAAAAAGAATAGTCATCAATGGATTTCATTAAAAAATCGTTCCCTAACAGTATTTTTAAATTAGGCAAGACCATACGGAGTGATTCCTTGTCCAACTGAGCGATCTGATTGGACGAGAGATCTAAGCTACTGACCAATGGGAAGACGGAGAACCATTCTCTGCTGACCGAATCTAGTTTGTTGTCTGACCTTATTGGGTGCAAACAAATTTATTTCGAAGATAAAACTAATTCCAATAAATAGAAATTCAAAATTAATAACAAAACATAACAAAGAACTAAAATAAAACAAAGATACGACGAAAATTAATCGATATAATTCAAATAAGACAATTGTCAAAAAACATTATTATTAATTAGCATTCAAAATTAAACTATTAATTGAGAATAAAAATTGGATTTTTTGAAAAGAAATGAACATCCGAGCCATTGTAGCCGTCTCAAACAATGCATCAAGTATAGAAGGAAATTCATGAAATTAAAAATTCCTCTCGTACAAAAAAATAATTACAAAAACAACAATAACAACAGCAACAACAACAACAGTAATAACTAAATAAATTAATAACGAATGATAAATGAATGCATAAATGAACGAATGACACAATATATAAATTCAATTTGAATGATTGAAATAAGCAATTAATAAAACACAAGACAATAGCTCCAAAAACGGTAGAAAACTGATATGCCTATTTTATTACACACTGCACACACGCACACACACACACAGGCACGCGCACACGCACACACACAAACATAGATGCACAAACAAACACACCAACACAAGACAATATAAATATAAAAAGTAATTAAGATATAATTAAAAAGAGAAATGACAAAACAATAGATGATCCGATAATATTTCAAGACAATGGCAAGAAGAATTATTCAAATCAACTGCATTTAAGGGAGAAAAAGAAGAGAGAGAAAGAGAGAGAAAGAGAGAGAGAGAGAGAGATTAAGAAAATGAGAGAGAAGGAGAGAGAGGAATACGTACACGCATCAATATTTCAACCAGGCTCTTACTTACGTACAATTAATTATGAAATTAATGATAAAAGAATGCAGAGAACAATTCATTTGACAGTGTATAAAAATCAATAAACAACAACGACAAACAACAACATCAACAGTAATGATAATAACAACAATAATGTCATTAACAACAACAACAACAAACAATAACTAACATACGTTGATACCACAGTCATAATGACAGGTAATCCATCGTAAAATACACACGGGAAAACAACGCCATCAACAGCAAACACGTCAACATCAAAAACATCATCAACACTACGATTATAAAGAGTGAAGAAAAACAACGAAAACATCAACAACAACAAAAAAAACAGCATCAGACATCAACAACAAACAACTTCAACAACAACAAAAGTATCAGCTAAAACAACATCAACATCGATAACGTCAACAAACGAACAACAAACAAACAAACGAACAACAACATCATCATCATCAACAACAACAACATCAACAACGACAATGCAAAACTCAAAACACGATAAACTGCAAAAAGGCTCAGATGAAATGAACAAAGAAAAAGTTGTAAACTAGAATGGAAAAAAATTAACATTGAAATAAATATTGTATTAATATTAAATGAATGAATGAATGAGTGAATGAATGAATGAATGAGTGAATGAATGAATGAATGAATGAATGAATGAATGAATGAATGAATGAATGAATGAATGAATAAATAAATGAATGAATGAATGAATAAAGATCACAATGCGGAATAAACAAATGAATGGTTGAATGAATGAATGAATGAACGAATGAATGAATGAATGAATGAATGAATGAATGAATGAATGAATGAATGAATGAATGAATGAATGAATGAATGAACGAACGAATAAATGAAATGAACGTGAAAACGGAAAACTCAAAATGAAAATTTGAAAAAAATTTCTAATTGTTAATTAATGAAAAAGTAAATTGATGAATTGATAATAATTAAAAGAAATTCCCTATCGAGAAACGCCCAACATTTTTCTGAAAAGAATTCTAATTAGAAAGATAAATTGAACGAAATGTAAACAATAAATAACAACAACAACAACAACAACAACAAAAGCATTAATGGCATCAACAACGGCAACAACATCATCACAATTAACCTTCCAAAAAACAAAATTATAATTAATTAAAATTAAAATTAACTAACATTATTAGAGTTTTGGCAGAGCAAAAAAACGTGTTTTTATTGTCGTTAATGCCATTATTTGTGTTGCTATTATTATTATTATTATTATTATTATTGTTATTATTAATTTGGTTATTATTGTTGTTGTTGATGTTACCGATGACGTCATCTGCTTTGTTGTTGTTGTTGTTGGCACGTTGAAAGATATTGGAAATGGATGGAACATTCGATAAGAACCTGTTTGAAGAAAAAGTCATCCAGAAGTTTACATACGAACTGTTGCTGTACTCCATTTCTATATCACTACCACTACTGCTACTACTACTACTGCTGCTACTGCTACTACAGTTACTACTACATAAATAAACAATGGCGTGAAATACTAACAAAGTATCAAGGAGTTTTAGATGCTGGCAGAAGCTGATGTCAAGCAGATCATTTCCACTTAAATCCCTGAATGTGTTTGTATGTATGAATGTCTGTGTGTGTGTGTGTGTGTGTGAGTATGTGATTGTCTGTGTGTGTGTGAATGTATGTACGTGTAATAATGTGTGTTAGACTGTTTTTGAATATGTGTGTGGTGTGTTGGCATGAAATTAAAAGCTAAATAACGCTACGCTGATAAACAAACTTAAATCCAAATAATAAACATATACATATAAACATACAAACGAACCGAAGCATACTAGAGAATGTACATACATACAAATATGCCACAAACAAACATACATACAAACATACATACAAACAAACGTACGAAGGCATTGGCCATTGCATTGTATTGTTTTGTATAACTAGTCTACTACATTCATACACAAATTTAAGTGCACAAGTTGTAAGCAAACAAAAAAACCAAGTGTGCATGTGTGAACGTATGTTTGCGCATCTGTGTGTGAATATATGTGCGTGTATGTATGTTCGTGTATGTTTGTGTCAAAACAGAAAATAATCAAGTGCAAATGGAAAGAAATAATGAGAAAATGAGAAAAAGAAAGGAAGAGAGAGAGAGAGAGGGGGGGGGGAGATTGAGGGAAAGAGGGAGTTAAAAAAGAATGGAAAATAGAGGTGTAGAAATTCGTTAAACATGTGTTAAAAAGTAATTGCATCCAACATCCAAAACGTTCAACTATGTATTGTTTCTTATTAGTTACATCGTCTGCTTGTCTGTTTGTCTGTTTGCTACCATCCATCCATCCATCCATCCATCCATCCATCCATCCATCCATTCATCCATCTTTCAAAATAACCGCCATCTGGAAAAACACCCATCTATTATTATTATTATTATTGTTATGATTGTTTATGTTGTTGTTGAAAAATGATAACGAACACAATAAACATATCATGGCCACGACAGACGGATTGCTACCACATCATCAAGGTTTGTCGTAATTCTTTTCCATGAACAATTAAACATAATCAATCGTCGTCATCGTCATCATCATCATCATCATCGCTATTATTATTCTTATTATTATTATAATCATCATCACTATCTTGATCATCGTCGATATCATGAGACTACGAAAAAGAAAAAACTCATTCCTGCCTATCATATCAATAAGCACTTAACACAAGGAAATTAATAATATATGAGGAACTATACATACATGCATACAAACATACAAACAAACAAACAAACATACATACATACATTCATACATACATACATACATACACACACATACATACAAATCAAACAAACAAACATACATACATACATACATACATACGAACATAACTAGTTGATTTACATTCATCACATGTTCGTCCATAAACATAAACTGCGAGTATGAATTGTTTGAAAAAAAGGTTTTATTGGCTTCCTAACAACCCAAACACACACATACACAAACCATTTGCATAAATGTGAGTACAGAAATAATAAGCATTATTAACTTTTGCTGCTTCTTGTAAGGCAACAGACTGGATAACAACAGAAACAACAACTACTACTACAACAGCAACAACAACAATAATAATAATAACAATAATAGTAATGACACTAAAAAACATCATATTAATAACAACAAAATTGAAATAACATTGTTTGCAGTAATAATGGTAATATCAATAACAACAATAAGACATGCACACATGCTCAAATAAATTAAGTACATGAGAACAATCATGAAAATGAACTTATTGACGTGAATTACACACACACCCGCACGCACACATACACACACGCACACACTTACACGTACAGACACACATATGAATATAAATACACATACATTTTAAAATAAAACTATAACATACATTACGTGAATTAATAATAATACGC